AATAAAATTGTTAACAAAACTGTGGAAAACATAAAAGGAACGTGTTGGTTTTTATATGGTTAAAAACTTAAACCTCAATCCTGTGTTTTTTTGTTTTTGCTTTCTTCACCAGCGCCAAGTAAAAGGTAACTTGGCTAACCTTGGAAGCTTAAAAGGATTCCACCACCCGAAGGCAATTCGGCACCTCAACATTGGTCCTTCGAGCTGGATCGGGATTCTCCAAGTGACACTTTCAATCATACAGTTTGAAAATCCTTGAATTGCGCTGTAAAATTGAAGTTTCTAAATGATAATACCGTCTGATAATACATTTGTTATACAGTTCATTAATTTTATTATAATTGTACTGTATTATCAGAAAGTTGCGTGAATTTGATAGTGAAAATTCACAATATTCCATTATTTTGATTGGTATTATCACAAAGATGTTGAAATTTGCTAAGATCGATTCACAATTATACATAAAGGTGTGTGAATCGACTACGTTGTATTGATCGTATTGCCAACTTAGTTGCGGAATTAGCTAAAAATTGGCAAAGACACTAACCATATTGTTAAGTGGCAGCATTGTTTATCAGAGCAACCAGATCTCATATATGTACAATCAGAGTGGCCGGCTCTGCTTTTTTATACAGCTGGTTTTTTGTTTTTTGTCATTTGCTTTTTATTGGCACATTGTCTTTGTTTACATTTTAATTTTTAAAATCATAGTACTTTACTTTTGTGAGCCTTAATAGTCTTATATTTAAATATTATTTTGGTTGCGTTGCTGAATTTCTTTGAATTACAATAAAATCATCATTAAGATTGATAGAAGCTGCGCTAATTCTAATATTTGGAATAGTTGGTCACAAATGGTGTGACTCGTGCTCACAGACAGAAGCACAGACAGATCGAAATCATATTTAGAAGAAGAATTAAATGTGTGCAACTAGTATTGTTTGGTTTGGTTTAATAATGGCAAGGTATGTAATGTCACATTTGTAAAGAAAACTTATTGGATATTTTCTATTATAACTTCGTGGTATCCGTGGTCTTTTGAAAGTGAATTTTGGAGGTGCATTGCAATCTCTAGATATATGGTCTTCTGTTTTCGATGGTGTAAGTAAATATTATGTCTCTTACAATTTATGATTTTAAACAAATTCGAAAATTGTATTGTTCAATTCGTGGACCTTTCATGTTTTTATTGTTTTCGTATGTCTTTGATAAGTTCAACTACGGTTTCGTTTGAAATTATTTTGAAATTTAATATTGGCTATATTTTTATAAACTGTTTATACTGTTGAGCTTATTAGTAACCATCGAGTTTCCATAACGATTTGTATTCGATATTTTGGACATAATTTGATGAATTGTCTCAATATTTCTGAATATAAGCTATGTTTAATAACTAAAAGTTGCTAGTTAGTACAAATTATTAACAATAATTACTAGAAAACGTCCATTAACTCAAAAACTAGGAAGAAGAGAAAATAATCAAGAACGGAAACATTTCTCTAGTTGCAAACAATTTCGTACTAGTAATAATTATCCTATACAAAATTGAACAGCTGTCTTTTGTTTACTTATTGTTAGCCAACTACTTTGTTATAAAATAAACTTTTTTGACAAGTGAATTATTTCGATTTTACGTAAAATGCAAGCGTTTTTAAATATTCTGGAATCTTTAATTCTTATTTTAAACCAAAATTTGTAAACATTTCGACGGTTTTGTTTTCTTGAAAGGTTTTAGGAGTAAAGAGTTCATTTACTTTTACTATTTTTGCGGATTTAGGATAGTAATTTTGTTTTTGCAAGCATTTTTGGAAAAGGTAAAGAAATTGAATCATCGTATCTTATGAATCGTTAATTTTTTTGAGAATCTTTTTGGTTTTGAAGCTTGAAAAGCCACCTATTGTGACATTTATTTTGATTTTGGTAACAATTTATTAAGAATTTTGAACATTTTCGAGACCATCGAGTTGACGATTTTTCTTGTCACTTTAATTTTTATTGGCATTATAAATAAAACAATTTACAAAATGAAATCGGAAATTTTAAAGAAATTTTAAAAGCTGGCAGCTTTGTTTCTCGAGTTCGAGAACGATTATAATGAAATGCCACAAGAAAATCGTAGTTCATTTAGCATTGACCTTCAAAAGGAGGAATTTAAAAGTTTATGGGATAAAGTTAGAGATGCTTATGAGGCTTTTTTACTAAATAGCGAGGACTCGGACTCAAAAGAAGATTGCGAGCATGCAAAACACATTTATAAAGAATGTAGGTTGGCCTACATCACTGTTGCTGCTCTTATGGGTGAGTTGTCCCAATCTTTTTTGAGTAAGTCGGCACTTACCTCGACTCAATGTGCAACGGGTGCTAATGCATCTTCAGCTAGTATGATGAGTCGTAATTCTGGCCATCATATGAGCTTGCCACCTAGTACAATGGAAGTTTTCAAAGGCGATTATAGAACTTGGGCCTCTTTTCGCGATATGTTTACTGCTGTTTACAATAATTGCGAAGATTTATCAGAAGTCGAAAAGTTATTTTATTTGAGGCAATTTACGAGTGAAGATGCTCTAAAAATTTTAAAAGATTCTCCCCTGACAAATCAAGGTTTCTGTAACGCATGGAAAAATCTATGTGATGGGTATGAGAGTAAACGAATTTTGGTAAATAGCCAATTGAAGACTTTGTTTAATCCTTTCCCGTTAAATCTGAGTCTGCTAAAGAAATAAAAAGGTTGCAAAGAGACATAAATAATTGCATATCGGTCTTAAATTTGCATGATATAGATATTTCTTCATGGGATCCTATTTTCGTTTATCTTTGTTCGATAAATTTGCCAGTTCTTACATTGTCTTTATGGGAACAAAATGTGGAGAACAAAAAAGAGATTCCTAAATGGAGCGATTTAGATAGTTTTTTGACATCGAGATTCCAATCATTGGAAACAGTATTCGACTTTAGAAGTTCTAGTCCAACGAAAACCATCTCGAATACTGATTCAGGTCACTTTTTTGTAAATAGACCTAGAAATAATCGATTTAACTTCGATAATAGAAAGGGTGCTAATAATAATAGATCTTCAGATGGTCAGTTTAAATTTTTTGGGACTAAGGCAATAAAGAAACCAAAATGTAATTTATGTTCAGGAGAGCATTGGCTGAGATTGTGTTCGAAATTTTTGGAAATGAATCCCGAGCAAAGATTTTTGGAAGTTAAAAAATTCAATCTTTGCATTAATTGTTTAAATGATGGTCACATGTTTGACACTTGCACATGGAATTATGGTTGCTCGGTATACAAATTGAAACATAATACGCTTTTGCACCGCGATGTGTCTGGAACAGCTCCGAGCGATAACCAAAAATATAATCCATGTTCCAGTCTAGCGGTTGTGCAAGGGCCAACCGTTCAAAATTATTTTGCTGCTTCGGAAGAAAAGATTTTATTGGGAACTGCCATATCTTATGGTAAAGTTTTTTCGGCAAGGGCAATAATTGATCCAGGGTCGCAAAAAAGTTTCGTTTCGCAGAAACTTCAAAATATGTTGAAATATGTTCAAAATATGCCAACAAAGTCAACTATTACGTGCATTTCGGCACTAAACAACGCGACACCTGGTCCTGTTTTAAATGAATGTGACCTTACATTGGCCTCTCGCATCGATGTGAATTTCAGATTAAACCTAAGGACGTTAATATTGCCAAAATTAACGGGCAATTTGCCTAATGAAATAATCGATGTTTCTGGTTTGAGTTTGCCATTGGATTGGCAATTGGCTGATCCAAGCTTTGCAGCAAGTGGTCCTGTTGATATTTTGATAGGAGCCGATTATTATCCGAAGATAATGTGTGATGGTTCTCAACAAAAGGTTATAGGAGATATAATTGTTCATGAGAGTCGATTTCGTTGGGTTTTGTTTGGTTCGGTACCCAATAATAGAAACGAATCGACTGTTCAAACGTTTTTTACGAAAATAAAATATAAGAAACAAAATCTTTCGAAACCTAAACAACCATCACAATTTTCAAGAAGTCCACATAAAGAAGTACCTAATTGTAATGAAAATTTAAAGCCTCAAAAGAAAAGTTTTAATTCTACATGACATAGAAAACGTATTGCAAACATAGAAAAACATAAACGTTTTGTACAACATAATTTGAAGATTGGCGACATAGTTTCGTATCGAGACGATAATTTGTCGAAAAATAAGTGGCATTTAGGCCATGTTGTTAACGTTTTCATAGATGACGAAATGCTGAAGTGAAAACGAACATTGGTTGTTCTATTAAAATACCAGTGGAGAAGATCGTCGTTCTTCCCACACATTAATTTTGTTTTAATATTTTTACAGTATCATGATCTATTATTGCGGTATATTTAGGATGTAATAATAGTTTATTTGGAGAGTGCAACGAATACAATGACTACGAAAAGCGACTGGTCTCCTTATCGCTATTGCGCGGGAGTTTTGGCTCATGATCATTGCGTACTTGTGGAAGTACGAAAGCACACAAGAAGAAGCGTCATCCAACCAAAAGAAGAAGACGTCTATGTATACATGACTGTGTCCTGGTTTTAAGGATCTACGAAGTAGGAACCGTACTGGAACGATTGGAAAATAGTGGATTTTGTATGGTAACCACGGTTCCGAAGCTAGTTGGTGGTCTGGTTTTTTAATTACCAGTACCCGGCTATTCCAATGGTCATGGAAATGTTTGAACAGTTTTGTGTCATGCACTTCTTTTAATTGAAAACAAGGACCATAACACAGCTGCAAACAACGAATGCGAATAAAGGGAGCTGTATGAACGTACTGTTCGAATGAATGTTTGTAAGACATTAAGAGTTTATTTAAAATCAATGATCTTAATAGCTAAATACAAAAATCTTAAAACTAACTAGAACTATGATAAGACATCTTGTGCACATGTGTACTTTCAGTCTTATCAGTGTAATGTTTCTATCTTAGCATGGGGTAATAACTGCATCAGTGATATAAATATATTTTATGCCTCATTATTAACTCTAACATATGGTTTATGCGTCACATAAACAACAGAATTAATGTGCATCTTAGAACTAAAGTTCTTATCACTGCTACGGCTTGTCCTAAAAACAAAGCGATAATACATATTTATTTGTAGTACAAACAAACGTATATAATATTTTTTATGACCTAACCCATGCACTTGAACTTATAATTTATGATCTTTCTTATTTTACTTAAACAAAATTAAACATAAATAAATGCGTGTTCAATTCTGAACAGGAGCACCGTCGCAGGAACCATGTTGGTACCCTCATACAACGTATGTACGTTTACAATAGAATGGAATTCTTTGTGGTAACCATGGTTCCGAATGTGTCTAATCTAGTTGGAGGTCTGGTTTATTTGTTACCAGTACCCCTCTAGTCCAATGTACTATCTACGGGTGACCTGTTTTGTCACAATAGATCGTGATACTTGAGATGATATAGGAGACTTTGGAAATCCTTTGCAGTGCTTTTGGATAAGTAACTACGTATTGTCACAATTAGTTGGATTTGGAATATTGGTATTCGAATCATGAGTTAATATTTTTGGTTTGTTTTTTTTTTATTTTTTTCCTTTCATTAAATAGCATATAGTTTTCGGATTGCAGTACTGCAAGGGGGCCGGGATGTTCAGGTTTGAACAGAGGTTTGCCCATCCCTGGTTTGCGTCAGATGGTGACGTTGCCAAAACCTTTTGAAGAAAAAGAAAACTAGAGGCGCTGTTGTTATCAGCTGATGCTTTTAAGCTAAATATTCGTTTTAGCTTAAGCTTCACATACTTTTTGGCGGGTTTGTTATTCGTTGCTCGGCCATCGTAAAGAAAAGTTTAGTTTTCTTCTAATTATAAATATTTATTTTGTTAAATTTTGAATTTTATTTAAATTGTTATTAAATTTAATTTATATCGAGCCATTGGGTTTTAAATAAATTGTGAATAAAATTGTTAACAAAACTGTGGGAAAAATAAAAGGAAAGTGTTGTTTTTATATGGTTAAAAACTTAAACCTCAATCCTGTGTTTTTTTTTTTTTTGTTTTTGCTTTCTTCACCAGCGCCAAGTGAAAGGTACTTGGCTAACCTTGGAAGCTTAAAAGGATTCCACCACCAGGACATTCCGAGGGCAATTCGGCACCTCAACATATGTACTGTCACTTTTTTATCCATATGTTATTCCGAATGTATGTCAAAATTTTTATTTTACATACGATTCATAATTTTTGCTATCACACCTGCCTGTGTTTTTCTGTATGACATAACCTATAAATGTAATCAAAGCTGTCTTTTTAATGTGTAAAAATTTCTAAAATTATAAATTAATTTATTAAAAATTAAAAAATACTTACTTTTTCATGTTCTTTATTAAATTATTTTCAAAAAAATTTTATTTCAAAGCAAAACAGCTGTTTTGTTTATGTTTGTCATACGAATATTTTTTTTTTTATTTTATTTATCTATAAATTTGACATTTCGTTAAATGATATTTGTATTAATTTGCTGTTTATTAATGTTCAATACTTACTTATTGTAATCGTTATTTATGTTTGTTACATCATTTTTAAATTTGCTGTTAACTGTTCTTGTCACGGTATACCTATAATTTTATAACGTTTTTTGAAAAAAGAAAAAAAACAAAAAAAGAGAAAGAAAGAAAAAAGGAAAAAAAGAACCGAAAAAAGAAGGAGATAAAAAAAAGAGAGAAAGGGAAAAAAATAATAAAAAAAAAAAAACAAAAAAAGAGAAAGAAAGAAAAAAGGAAAAAACAAGAACCGAAAAAAGAAGGAGATAAAAAAAGAGAGAAAGGGGAAAAAAATAATAAAAATGAATGAAAATATCTATTTACACCAAACACTTTAGTAAAGACCACAATAAAAACATATGTTTCGGTGGTCTTTTCCAATGATTGACAATGTTACTGAGAGTAACAGCAACAGAGGAAGAAGAAGTCATACGACGATCACGCTTTACGTACTTAAAGTCTAATGAAAAAGTAAAATGAAATTCCATCCGTATGACAAAAAAGAGTCGTATGATTTATATTTTTTGTGTTAACTCGATTGGTATAAAAAATAAAAAAGTAAGAAGGAAACAGCTGTTTCACTTTTTTGTATGTGTTGACATAAAAATACATCCCTGATCTTATGCGACTTGCTTGTTTTTTTAATAATTTCAAAAAATAAAGAGAGCCATACGACTGTCAAATTTTGCATCTGTTTTTTCTCTCAATAGTTGATGTTTTCATTACATACTACGTTTAGACGATCCCATCCGTATTCTTTTACACAAAAATTGGACAGATCATATTACTTGTGTGCTCGTGTAAAGGGGGCTTAAAGGAGTTTAGAAACAGTTGTAAGATTAATAAATAATAAGATAATAAGTGTTTATTTGTTGAAACATAACTCTAACCATAATGGAAGTCATATTAAACTCTTAAAAAAACTGAAACCAAACAAAAACTTTAATGCAAAAAAAAAAAAATATTGTTTTAAAATAGCAATAAAGTAATGAAAAATAAAAAATATGTATGAAACAAAAAAAAATATTGTTTTAATTGAATTAATAAGATTATAAAAATGTTACGAAAATAAGCTTACTTCAATCATATTTCAAAAACTATTTTTCAGTAAGCTTCTAAGCTTGTTGTAAACTGCAACTAGGAATATTATCACAAGGGTTCAATTTTCTTGATAAAATAATTGTTAACAAGCCTTTTATAATAATTATCATAAGAGTTTTGCAAACCTAACGCTAATGGTAGTAATACTATGTTTCCACTGACTTGAAATCTACTAGGTTTGCTTAAACCTCTTCAAGGTGTTTCCACTGAGCATACTCGTTTCCGATATTCGAATTTTCGAACAAATTCGGTCATTTTATTTTGATACAACGATAGTAATGTTAATATCCTTTAAATTTAAACATTGAAAATATAAAATTACAGTTGTAAAAATATAAATTTTATTATTAAATGCCACTTATTTTAAAATTATAGTTTTTTCTATTTTTATTTCAAAATGAAAAGTCACTTTTTCATAGTAGAATGGAGTGGTTTTTATTTTGGAGTTTACATTTTACAATGATAAATAGAAATCATATCGCAAATTAAAAAAAATTATGTATAAACCATATATATATATATATATATATATATATATATATATATATATATATATAAATTGAACCCTTGTGATAATATTCCTAGTTGCAGTTTACAACAAGCTTAGAAGCTTACTGCAAAATAGTTTTTGAAATATGATTGAAGCTTATTTTCGTAACATTTTTATAATCTTATTTATTCAATTAAAACAATATTTTTTTTTTTTTGTTTCATACATATTTTTTATTTTTCATTACTTTATTGCTATTTTTCAATTATATTTTTTACAATTTTGCACTTTTCTATATACATATTAGGCTTCGTTTCAAAAAATAAAATGTTTCCCGTTTTTGTGATATTACAACTTTTTAGAAGGTTTTTGTATCAGTGATTACTATGCTGTAATAATTTTTTTCAAAATTCCAACTCCTTCCTCTGCATATCTGAGGCGGAAACCACTGATTTTGAGCGACATTTTTTACAGAGCAGAAACTGTAGAATTTATAGGAAATCATGCTCTAATAATTGATTTTGTAGGAAAAATCAATAAGAATGAGCTTAATTTCACACTTTATAATGCTTCAAAAGTGCATTTAGTATTATCCAAAGATGCACTTTTTTCAAAAAATATTTCAAACAATTCATAATCAAAGTATGCTTTTTGCTGAGACAAATGGTGCAAAAACAAAAATTTTATCATTAACCTTTTAGATGTGATGAGACTTTAAATTTTCAGATTTTAAACTTTACAACGCTATATTTCGAAAACCACGAAAGTTATAAGGCCCAAGATTTGTCATTATACAAGTTATATATGGAACATTAATTCGATGGAGTTTTATTAAATTCGGAGATGATGATGAAAAACACCATTGTTTGATCGGAAATTATTAAACTACAAGCCAACATTATAACTATCACAACTCCTAAAGGGATTACAATAAATTAAAAATTTTAACACTATTTTTTTAAGGGCATTGAATATTATATTTACGAATGATAAAATCAGGTTTTTGAATTTTTTTTTTTTAAATTGCATTTTTTCTTTTGCTCTTATGCATTTATAGTGCATCTAAATTCTGTCAAATTAAGTTTATATATCTTAAATTTTCCTGTAGAATAGTATACTAAAGTCAGATTTGAAATTTGTACAGCAGTTTTCGGACTATAAAAAATGTCGCCCAAAATCGGTATTTTGGCCGCAGATATGCAGATGAAGGAGTTGAAATTTTAACAAAATAATTACGCCAATATTAGCGCTGTTCCAAAAACTGTCATAAAAGGTATGATATCACAATTTCAAAAGTATTGCGTGAAGCCTAATACATATATTTTACGTATTAGTCTATTATTGGTAAATGGAAAAGACTTGTTTATACTTTTTATGAGCTCGTCCTCCCTCAATCCTATAGAAAAAGCGGCGTCTATAAAATAAAAAAGCACATTTTTTTATTATGTGGCATTTTTTATATATTAATTAAATTACCTTTTTTAAACAAAAATTTTTTATTACTTTATTTTATAAAATTACACTCTTAAACACTTAAAAACACTGCCTTTGCCAAACTAAACAAGACTGAAATGAAGAAGAATAATAATAAGAAAAACACGCAATAAAATAACGGGATATCTTATACGAAAACAATTACAAAACTATTGCGATCATTAGTCTTTTACAATCACATTTGTAAAACTTGTTATCGTAACTAAGTGTACAGCAAGTATTATTGCAAATATTGTTGCTATACGAAGCGTTTTTTAAGCATTATTTTAAAAGTATTCATAATTTCCATTAAAATAAACCTATCTTAAGTATCCTTATGAAATGTTGTAGAAAATTCTTTATTATAAGTTTTTTTTTAAATGTAGTTATATTTTGATTATGGCTGGGTTTGTTGAGATAAGTTTAACAAAAACCGCACACAACAACAAAATCTTACAAATCAAACAACTCATCAAGTCTTTTCAGCCATACCATCCAGTCAAATTACGTCTTACTATCCAGAGAAATAAAGGCTCAGTTAGTCTCTACGTTCCGTAACGTTTCCGTTCTGTAACGTTCCGTTGACTGTTTATGTGTAGTTAGTTTCTATGTAAGAACATAGCAGCTATTTTTAAGAATAACAGCCAAAAAAGCAACTCTGACTTCTTGTGTCAAAAACCAGAGTTGATTTTCTTTCTTTGCTAGAGTTGTTTTTTTCCATATATTTACAATTTTATATAAATTTAGCGCTTATATTGAAAAGACATTTGTATTTCTCTGTTCTCTGCAATTAAATAAATAAAAATGAAACAGATTTATTAATCAATTGTATTATAGACTTTTATGATACTTACCAGGAATTCCTTTTGTCCACATGATCTTTGTCCACATGATCTTTTTTTCCGGCAATCTATATTCCTTGTTAAATTTATTATACAAAATATCATTTTGTTCAACTAAAAAAATTAATTTCTCGTCGTCCATTTTAAAAACACGATCTACAAACTTCTTGACCAATGATTATCAGTGGACACATTTATAACGAATTTTAATAATTAAATTAATTATAAAAAGTAAAAACACGAAACACGATTTTTTTTAATTTCTTTCTTGGACTTTTTTTCTTATGTCGTTTATGTTGAAACTAATGTCAACTCTTATATTTTCTTTGACATATTTCACGTTTTTTTTTTATTTTTCGCCTTTTTTTTTAATTTTAAAATTCATAACATTTAGTATATCTTTTTTAATAAATAATTACTATTTTATTATTATTATTAATTTTATTGTTTAATTATTAAGTTTTCAATTAATAGTAATAAATAAAATTTTTCGTATGTACATTATTTTTAAAACATTAACATCACTGTTTTTTTATTGTTTACATTTTTTTGTATTTTATGTCAGCTGTTTGTAGCTGTCACTTAACGTTGCGGATTGAAATCTATTTTCTACAGGTTCATCCGCAACGTAACTTCAACGTTACGGCAAAACTAACCACTTACACAGGTTTTCGTAAGCCAAAAAGGAATCAGCTGATTCATCACGGAACGGAACGTAGAGACTAACTGAGCCTTTACGCTACTATCCAGTTTTTATTACGTGCATAGTAAGAAAACAAAACCAAGAACTAAACAATACGCAATACTCAAAAATGTTTGCACTGTTCAGTCGTCGTGTTCAGTTCGGTTGAGTTGAAAAAACTTAACATGGCCGCTGC